TAGCAAAGGACCCATGGTGTGTGGTGCTGGTGTCACAACTGAAGAAACTGAGTGTACGCAGACGTTTCCACACTAGCATCACAGTGACAATCGCTTTGAAGTCCCTTTGAGCTGCTTTTCAACTTTGGTTGGGTTTTTTTGTCAGTTTTGTGGTCACACATAGACCCCCAATAAAGATCAAAGGTGTGTCCTCATTAGAAAACGGATTTGTGTTTTGCTTGTGGGACTGGTTATTATGTTACAATGCATTTCAGGTCATGTTACAGAATACAGAAGGTAAAAGTAATCTAATAGGTAGTGTACCAAGTAACTTTCTCTGGGGAGCAATTAAGCAACGAACTCCATTACTTTTAAGAGAAGTATAAGGAATGTGTAATACACAACTTTTATTGAATGATGATAAAACCCCACTTCACTACTTCAATACCCCAATGTTGGTAGTGAAGCAGGACATGCAGAAGGTTGGTGGACAGAGAAAGATTCTAGCGATCGGGTGTAATGTGGACAGATGGCCCCTAAAGGAAAAAAGGAAGAAGAACAAGTAGAAGAAGGACTGAAATGTCACCTTTTGACCTTTAAAGTATTCCTTTCATTGGTTCTTTTTAGTAATATCTACTAACACAGCAAATTAAAGAAGTAAATCTAGAAAACGTAAAGTAATCCTGTCTTGAAACTGTACAGAGTAGAATTTTCTGGCACAACTTCACGTACTTCCATCAAGAGACACAATTACAAGTGCTGCTGGAGTATTAAGCTCTTGATACACAGTCTGTCTGGTACCTTGGGAAATCAGTGAATCATTTTAATCTGTCCAGTTTAAAATATTAAACAAAAATATTAAGCCAACACTGCTAAATTATTGCTGAGTCATAATTTCACAATAGAGATATACTGAAAAGCACAAAGCTCTGTTACTCATGTGTGAGCGTAGGTGTTTATCAGCACCAGACAGGAAAACATTGAAATGTTAGGGCCCATTTACCCAAACCCTGTGATTATACACTTAAGGTTAAAATATAACGCATTCCCATCCAGCACAGGCAAGTTCTTCACCCTGTCATTGCTATGAGACACTCGCATAGTCTGCTTCACTCCTCCTCCAACCTGTATCTTCGTTTCTTCTTTTTCTGACTGGAAACAGCTGCTTGGTTCTGCTGGTAGACTTACTGGACTTACTCACCAAAGTCAAAAACACATCAGGCTGCTTATCTGTTCCCCGATATGAGCAGCACTTTACCTCTTCTCGGTCTAGATTTTACAAGACCAGCTGACAAATTTCATCTCAATATCAAAAGAAGTTACAACACTGCAAGACATCACAGCAACCCACAGTGGTATTTATTAGACTAAGTCGCAAAGTCGCTGATTTAACTGTTGGAAAGTTTCAAATCTGTGACAGCCTCACATATGATAGCCAGATGCCTGTTTAGTTGCACATCTGCAAGACATCATTCAGGATGTGATCAGCTGGATGAATTAAGTAATTAAGAAAGGAAAAAAAAGTTCACTGCTGCTTTCTCTGCAGCCTAAGACTGTCATTGACCTCCAGTTATTTCCAACACCGCAGCATCTGTTTTTCCACATTTGCTACCCTAACGCTTGCTTAGATTATATGGAAAGCATAAAAACTTCCATTTATTTCACCATCTGGCACTGCCTGCATAACCACTTCCGGTTCCCCTAATCCCGTTCCACTTTACCTCAAAATACTCTCAGACGGACAAGACAGAGAGCACTGTGTCAGATCTGTATGACTTATGCAGTGCCATGCTTGTTTTCTGTCAGACAGAGCTGAGGTTGAGTATTCATATTCACTAGGTCTGCTGAGGGGGACTGCGGTTTAAAGTGGGGACGAATGTAAGGAAGTGGTTTTGGTTACTGAGGTGCAGCTTTTTTCCCTGTGTGTGGTTTATTTGTGGAAAAAAAATAACATTTCCTACCCTTATGAGCAAAAACAGTTGGCACGGGTTTTGACTCAAAAAACAAAATTCCTGACCTCTCCGCACAAGTGAGATGAGGGTTTGATTTCCAGTCAGCACCGCAATAAGATCAACAAACCTTTGAGGTTGCAAGACACAGCAGATTCCCACTGTTTGTGACTTTATGGCAGTGTAATGGAGGTGTAGAAGTTTCAACACTTATGTTCCCCCGTGAAACAACTCGGGAATTTACACATTCCTCTTTAGAGTTTAGAAAAGTTGCAAGGTCACACTGTTTTGCACTCAAAAGCAAAATACTGGGTGTATTACAGTGACGCTGGAAGCTGCAGTATGTCATTAGTACTTCACTATCCCACACACAAAGGCGCACACATGCACAGACAGGGAAAGATACATGTATAAATGTACATATATGTTTGGTGTGCCTTCCAGAACAGTTGCTCACAGCTGCTGTATTAAATAATAACCAACCCCCCCCCCCCCCCCCCCAACTTCAACAGTGGGCATCACACTCTGCTAAATCTATATTCTCCTTAAACCTCCACTGGTTGTTCTACACACCCAAATTGGTATTTGTGTGGCATACGCATAATTGCAGGTTTGGTTGGTAAATCAAGCCTTGGGCTCTGAAAGCTTCCCTCAAACTATAGCCCTGAGATAGCTATTAATATCCTCTACAGACTCTAGCAAAATGCTTTGCCTTAAAGTTCTGTAACAAAACAGCACAGCAGAAAAATGGGGAAAACACACACACACACACACATTTTTGCAGAAAAATAGTGGATGTATTGCTCAAGAGAACCGTGATAAAATTAAACGCTGTCTAGACTTCAGCTAAAACAGGCATGTACTTTAGTTTTGGAGCTGAACAGCTTAATGTTGTGTTTAAGGGAGATGAAAAGATGCGAGCAGTTTCCTGTAGCTAATGGAATGAGTTTGGTCTGAATATCAGGTATCGCTCACTGGGGATTTTTTTTTTACTTGCTAAATATTTATACACTCTGCTAGAAAAAGACAAAAAGAAAAGAAAATAGACTCATGGGTCCTCCCACACACTCAAATCAGGGTGTTGTTCTGAACACACGCAGCGACTGAGAGCACATACATCTTCACATACACGCACACATGTAGTGTTTCTTCCTCCCTCTGTCCCTCCCACAACTTTCTTTCATTTCTTCCTCCCCCTCACATCTGGACTTCTGGCAGGATCCAGTTCCTGTGTGATGTGTGTACATTAGAGGGGGACCCAGTTTCTGGGTTGGGCAGGTTCTAGCAGAAGTTTGAACTGTGTGAATCTGATCTGTGCAGGAGTTAAAACTCGTTGTGCTTTACTGTGAAAACAAGTTCACTTATTATAACCACCATTGTCTAGCTTGATGTTTTCCTGAATTATTAGTATCATCAGAGTTTCTTTTGGTGCTACAAATATTTGTTTTTGGGAGGGTATTTCAGGTTGATTCGGAGGATTAAAATCCGCTAGCAGCCAATTTAGAAAACGGTATAGCTGCAACTTTAGAGTTAGGCCATGTGAAAGGTGAAGAGACAAAGTATTGATGCTCACACGATGAGCTCCTAAACATAAAACACAGATGTAGAAATGTGTGGATAGCAGAACAACAAAACCAAGAGTAGCGGGAGCCCATGTGGGAGGAAATATGAGTATGAATTTAAGCTCAGATGAACATTCCCCACCCCAAGTGAAAGGTAGGGCTTTACTCGGGGGATGTGAGACTGATTTTCATTGTCTGTGGCTAAAAGTTCCCTAGATCCACCATCTTGAACTTATTATATATATCTACTATTCAGCCCTCTTCTTCCTGAAACTTGATTAATTGGATATTGTCATAATTCAGTTTGATGGTCCAGATGTGGTTGATGTAAGCATAGAAAATAAGGTAAACTGATTTAAAGAATGACTGTTGATGAGTTCTCAGTTCTCGAAGCTCAAGAGTCACGTAAAGTACAACAGAAAACACATAAAGTGCAAAGAAGAGGAACGTGCCAGATAGATGTCATGAATGAAATTGCTCTGGATTACAGTTTAGGTTTGCTCCAGGGTAGTTGTGTGAATTCCTCTTTTTTTAAGGCATGTGATCAGGTCTAGAGTTGATTGCTGGTCCCATTCTCTCTTTTTTTATGGCATATACACTAAACGTAAAATGCCTCAGAAATACATGGATTTCAGTGATGTGTGACCAAAAGTGTTGCATCATATCCCAGTGTGTTTAACTTGAAAGTCCATCCAAAATTTACAGGTCAACAAACTGAAGTCTACTTAACAAGTAAAAGTTTGCTTATTTGATTCTAACAAGTTTATAACTGAAATATCCAAAATGCTTCCAGTATCAGGTTTTTCGTTTTTTTTGTTTGTTTTTTGCGGGTTGTTATCTACAGAAGCGCAACAGATACTGACAGATGCTGGAAGGCTGGAGATGCATATACCAACATGCAAAGATGTCAAATCAGTCAACAACACAGAGCAATTACACTTAACCACAAGCAAACATGAGCTCAACCCACGCAGAGAAAAACACATTACGCAGCAGGAGCCCAGGTGGGCGTATGAGAAGTCCAGGCTCCACTCCTTCTCAGGTAGTCATTTCAACAACCCACAATTTATACATTTAGTTGTTTGGTTACTCAGGGTTTTCACTTTTGGAGTTTCCCGAAGAAAAATGAAGACAATTGTGGCAGACATTTGAAGAAAATCTTGCAGAGGCAGGAGTTTTAGTGAAGCAAGTTCTTGCGGATTAGAGCATCATTTTCACTGTCGGGTTGGATTTAATGTGTGCAGGCAACACATTTAAACTCACACTTAAATCTCCACTCTGCGTGGACAGATTTAATAAGTCATCACTGACAAACTGCTGGTTTAGCACTGTGCATTAGAATATGTTGCGATACATGGAAATCAAAAGTTCGAGAAGTTAATTTAAGTTCATTGTCGGTGAGAGTTATGGTAGTTGGAGGGCGGGACCTCCGCACCCCCCCCCCCCCCCCGTCCCAGATTTGACGTCACATATTTAACGACTCCGCGATCTGAGCTCCAGCTTTTTCAAAGCCCAGTCGGAGGTAAAGGGAGGCTGTTCGACATAAGAGATCTGAGTGGGTCGCCGAGAGAGGTAGGATTGTAGTTTTTTCTGCTTTGTTATTCAGACGAAGAAAAATAAGGGGGAAAAAGTAGGAAAAGAAAATTAAATGTAAGAAATATACACTGTTTCTGGGAAGCATCTCACATCTCATGGGCTTTTTTTTTTTTGGAAAAACGTCGGGAACTGGGCTTTTTAATTGTTTTGTGGAGCCGTGAACTATATAAACATTATGCAATTAGCAACGTATTATATATATTAAATGTAAGTATTATTACGTATAGCCATATTTTCATACGTGGGAACTGTTTCTTGCATGTAGTTATCTGTGGTTAAACCTTAAACCCTCTTCCGTATTTTTCTCTCCTTTTTAAAAAAAAAAAAAAACCCCAAAAAAACCCAACTTACGTTCATGTGATTTTTAACACAGTGGGAAATTTGCACATGCACGCTGCACAAAACTTGAGGAGGTTTGAGCTTTTTTAAATTAAACTTTAAAAAGCATGCAGAAGTAAACTTTATTAAAATGCTTTTAATATTTGCTCTAATTACTTTTAGGGTGCACTAAATGGGTGGATAATGGAGTTGCCCTGTTTAGGGCATGTTGGAGTTATGTCATGTTTCGGTATGATATTTGGGGGAATTGAAATAAAGGCAACCTTTCTTTCTTTTTATTTGACTGAACTGCTTTCTATGTTTCAATTTAAAGAGTTTTGCTTTGTTGGTCATTAGTAATCTCAGGAAAATCTAAAAAGGTTAATATTCATGTTTGTTTGTGTTGTAGGTTCAAAGACAATGATGGAGTTAATGACTGGCACCCCTCCAAATCTCTTTAATGGAACAGATGACTTTGGAAGTAATGGCTCTATGTATGATGAAAGCACAGAGTATGACTACAGGAACGAGCACGCCGATTTGAGGCATTCTCTGAACACCATGTCTATCGTTGTGTACTCCCTGGCTTTTGTCCTCGGTGTGCTCGGGAATGGAGTGGTTATCTGGGTGACCGGGTTCAAGATGAAGAAAACTGTTAACACAGTTTGGTTCCTCAACCTTGCTGTGGCTGACTTCCTCTTCACTGC